TTACGTGTTCTTTTATTACCGGGTGGGCAAAAAAATAATAATCTAGAAATCAGAGATAAATTCTTTCCGAAACGTCATAACCGTAATGAAAAATGATGACAAAATGTATGGTGAAAATAATAGTCTTTATGTTACAGTTTAGAATAATGCTAGCCATACACGTCACGAATTGTTCATTTCAAGAAGACTTATTGTTGAAGTTAATAAAAGCATTATGCATGTTCATGAGAGCTTTTACAGTCCGATGTACATGATTGTAAAGCAAATTATTGAACATTATACTCTCCTTATCTCAGAAATAATGACGCTTGACAAAGGGATTTGCCCAGGGGTCTCGGTCAAATATAAATTGATGGCTGCATTCGCATGCGTAACCAAAAAAAAAGGCCTATAAGCTTCTTCTTTTTTATAGATTGGACGCGGTATTTTTTTGGATCCCGACTCCGAATTGAAATCTAGTCTGGAATCTGGTTGTCTATAAGTTTCGGTTACGTCAGCTTGCTAATGTAAAAACACATATTAAAGAAGACTATTTTGTTTGTATACTAGATAAAAGCAAAAAATACGTGTTCAAAATGTGGATGCTTTCATGTACATGTTGTAATTTGTTGCAATAAGTAAGGTTTTAATGGTATTGACTGGTGTGCTTTGTCTGTGGAAAAAAAGAGAAAGCAATTTTTTTTTTTTTTTTTAAACACAAGTCACCAACTGATGGGTGTCATTGACATAGGTATTTTTGTACATGTGTTCCTCAGGTATTTACATTTATATTTTTGTTTCTATAGTAGAATAGAAACTGTTCATTGTATTTGTGTACTTTTTGTAAACACTATGTACAAAATAGATCAAATTTGAAATGTAAATGTTTTTTTCCTTCAAAAAGGTGTGACGGTGTATTAAACACATTTGGAAGTCTACACGTTGATGTTTTGGCTTCTCTATAGAAATAAATGTTTACATTGTGAATTTTCCATCACAACTGAGCGCAATTTGATTTATTTTACATTGTCAACAACTTAAATGGTGATCCCTATCGCACTTCAAAATGCTCAAGGGTTTCTCTCTCTCTCTCTCTCTCGCTCTCACCCTCTCTCTACCTCTTGATATTGCTTTATCGATTGCTCTCCTCTCAGCCTTGGTCAGTAACCTGGTGAACACACATTCTATTTTTTAAATATCATGTGGTTGTTTATACCAGCCATTATGATACCAGAACTGATATATCAGTTGGCATATAATATAATCATCACCAACTAAAGACAGTAAACAAAGGAGTCGGAAAAATCATGATCAATCCATTCGGATTCGCAAATGAACACTGACGCTAACCAAATATAACTGCCCCACCACCTGACAAATAATTATGTCCCATCATGTAAAATAGACAAAAGCCATTTAACCCTCCAATATGAATATCAATACAATACAAGAAGGTGGTTTGCAAACACCGGCCCCCTTCGAAAAAGAAAACTAGTCCTGATCAAGGTCAAGTCGTTGCTTCGACCGAAGTGATTCAAGAACCGTTATTGTAAACTGTTGCTTGTAAAGTTCAACAAAAAAAAATCTTACCTCTTTTCATAATATGATTGTTTCTAATTTTAAAAAAAAATTAGAAAGATAAAACTTATACAAGTACATGTTACTTCTCTGAAATTTATTGGTCGATTACAGATAGATTGTTCAGTAAATTCGAGAAGATAATACAATCTTACCCTTCACGATGCGACTTAAAAATATATGGGATTTTCTTTAAAGTAGCGAAATAATTTATTATATTGTTTAAACTGAGAGGAAGCTTATTTGGATATTTGTTGGTGTTTTGAAAGTTACTTCATTTTTCATTCAATGCACACAAAATATAACAGAACGATAACATAATACATCGCGGCGGCAAAACCGAATTGCCATTATCTTACAATGAAAACGGTATTCAGCATTTACAACAATAACAAATACACCACAACAATCAGTGGCGTACCTGGGGTACTCCGTCAGGGGGGGCAAGCGACCGAAACAAACAAAAAAGGCGATGCTAATTTTCACTTCTGGCGAGCGAGCGAGCAAAAAAAAAATCTTTAAGTAACGTTTGGTATATAAACTGGTATTGTTGCAAGTTGGGGGTGGGAACATTCACTTGTTAGCGACGTTAATTTCATTTTTTTGCAAACGAGTGTAGCGAGCAAGAAAAAATCACTTCTTTTTTAATAATTGCCACTTAAACTTGGTTCAATTGTCCCATGCAGGGCGCGGGAACAATATTGTGTTTAGGGTGATTTTATACCCATTTTAGCTAGCGAGCGAAAATACATCTTTCTCTCAATGAATTGCTATATACAATTTGTTTCATTGTTGCAGGTAGGGGGCGGGCACAATCGTGTTTAAGGCAATGTCAATCCCATTTTGGCGGGTAGGCAACCCCCTACATTTCTCTTTTTAATGATATTGTAGCAGGTTAGTGGTGGGCACATAATTCCACGAGCTAGCGAGCGTAGCGAGCGAAAAAATCACTTTTCTTTTATAGGAAAAATATGGTACATAAAACTTGGGTTCATTGTTCCATGTCAGGGACGTGATTATTAAAAGCGGTGTTATTTCTATTTTGGCGAGCGAGCGAGCAAAAAAAAATCACTTCTCTTTTATAGGGAAAATATGGTATATAAACTTTGGTTCATTGTTCCATGTCAGGGACGTGATTATTAAAAGCGGTGTTATTTCTATTTTGGCGAGCGAGCGTAGCGAGCGAGCAAAATTTTTGTAATGATAATTGGTTCATAAATTTCAGATTTTTTTGTTGCAGGGCAGGGCTTACACAATCATGTCTAAGGTGATGTTAATTCCGTTTTGGCGAGCACTAGCACACCAAAACTTCTTTGAATAACGTTTGGTACATAATTATTAACTGGTTGTTGCAGGTTGGGGCGGGCACGTTAGCGGTGTCAATTCCATTTTGGCGAGCGAGCATAGCGAGCAAGCAAAAAAAAAAATATATCTTTTAATAGAAATTAATAAATAAACTTGTTTTTATTGGTGCAGGTCAGGATGGACGCGTTTAACGCGATTCAATTCCTTTTTGGCGGGAGGGCGAAAAAAATCTTCCATTTTTAATGATATTGTTGCAGGTCAAGGGTGGGCACAATTGTTTCCAAAGCAATGTCTATTCATTTTATTCGCGAGCGAGAAAAATGAATTAGTCTCTTTTAGTAACATTTGGTACATATATTGTGTGTTATTGTTGCCATGGTTGCAGGTCGGGGCAGGCACAATTGTATTCTAGGCAATACTAATCCTTTTCTTTTTTCAGGGGGACGAGCAAGTGAAAACATTTAATACAAAATAGGCTAGCAAGCAGTTCGCGCCAGCGAAGAGTTTCAAATTTGTTATATCACTTATATTTTCCTATTTTCATTTGTTTTAATTTTTCAGGGCCGTATGCGGAATATTTTTCTGGTGGGGGAGGGGAAAGATGCGTTAAAAGTTTTCGAAGAATCTCAAAAGCAAAAGGAGTGAAGGGAGTTCGAGCGACCGAACTGGTCATGAGGGTACTTTTGCATTTTCAAAAGTAGAATTGAAGGATTTGGTATAGGCCTACACTACATTTTCAGGAAAAAAAAATGTACGTTTTCAAAATATCTGGGGTCAACTGCCCCCCCCCCCCCTGGTGCGTACGGCCATGGTCTTTTAAAAAAAAAAATCCCCCATATTTATTCCTTTCCTTTTCCCTTTTTCTTCCTTTTCTCTTCTTCTTCCTTTTTTTTCCCTTTTTTCTCTTTCTTTCCTTTTTTCTTCCCTTTTTTCTTCCCTTTTCCTTTTTTCTTTTTCTTTCCTTTTCCTTTCTTTTCTTTTCTTTCCCCTTTTTCTTTTTTTCCCCTGGAGCCCGTCAGGGGGGGCACTCTGCCCCCCCTGCCCCCCCCCCATAGGTACGCCAGTGACAACAATTAAAAAATCACATTTCATTAATTTTCCTCATTACCCATATTGTTTCGTATAACAATTCGATATTGTACATGATAATGCGAATATGAGATAACTTATTTACTCCCTGACCAACTTTTTAAAAATGTGACATGAGCTCATTCTTGTATTACGATACACACACAAATCATACATTTACATATAGGCCTACTAGTATGTATATAAATAACTTAGAAAGCATGACTAGTTAATGTTAATGATAATAATGATAATATCTATAAGTTACGCTCTCACACAAGACACAGCGCTTCACATGCATGATGCTATAAAGGTTTGAAAAATACTGCTTCAAGTGCTTCTTCAAGTGTCTAGACAAGTGCGAGTGCTGTACGGATGTTCCGGGGCAGTTGATTCCAGAGGGTATGTGGAAAAGAGAGCTGTCAGTTGCTGAGTACGTGCATGATAGATCTGTCAGGAATTACAATTTTTAATAATTTTCATCATTGCTCAGTTTAGTTTACTTTACTTTCTTAATTCAATGACAAATAAAAGTCAAACAAAATAATAAACACTGTACGAATTTGGAAGAAATAAATAACAAATCTACTAATTTATGAGAAAGTTACGATTATGAGAGAGAAAAAAATGAGAAGAAAGGGACGATTATGCAACAGAATATACAGTGCACTCAAATTAGGAATTCACTGGATAGATAGGCTGTGACAGGCGCGTACACAGGGGGGGGGGGGTGTTTGGGGGGTTAACCCCCCCCCCCTTTGGTAATTTTTTTCGTGTAAACCCCCCTAAATTTCTCTAACCCCCCCCCCCCCCTTTTGGATTTTATTTTTTATTTTAATTTTATTTTTATTAAAAAAAAAAAAAAAAAAAAAAAAAAAAAAAATTCCCATGGTTGACCTAAAAAAGCTGACCTTACCCCCCCCCCAACGGAGCAAAATGTCAAATTTTCAAATTTCGAGACCAAAAAAAAAAAAAAAAAAATGTGTCCTCTTACTCTTACCCCCCCCCCCCCCCCCCCCCCCCTTTACCCCCTTTTCCTTGTAATAAGTAAACTTTCCCTTCCAGTGATAACTGAGTGCCCCCTTTCCTTTCTCTACAATATGCGCCCCTAATTCAAAGTAAGTTAGAGACAGAGCAACTGTTTCTTTAATTTATTTGATTGTTCGCACTGTAATGGTAGCTAGGGTAAAGATGGGGTAATAATAAATGCGCCTCGGAATAGAATTTCAAGATAGACTATAGAAATGCCGATTATTATTATTATTAAGACCCCACAATTCTTAAATTGAATATTATACTTTGGAATTATATAGTAATGCTCCGCCACCCCTGTCGGCTCAGTTGGGCTAAAATGATATTTATGACTTCTTTCCCTATCCTGAAAGAATTATGATTTTAAAAAGTCATTAATTTCTTTACAAATTCTATTTTAATGTACTTATTACGAATTGCTCAAAGTGCTTTCGGGGACAGATCTGTCGTAAACGGCGCTATTTGACAAAAAGCAACGCTGCAGAGTCATGTATACGTATTTAATACCAAACTCTAAAAACGCTCGTACGCAATAGCCTACCGCTGAGCTAGTGTACACAACCGATCGCGTCCATATCAACATACATATATTCGGACGTAGCGGCCGTAAAAATAAGGGTCATAAAATCCGAAAATGGCGCACGTTAGCTGAATTGCGGATGGGCTATAACTAGTATAAGCAAACAAGTAGGCCAGATGTCTGGAAACCAAGGAAATTTACACAAACGAAACTTGTAAGTTCCATTGTTTATTTATTAGTGATGGGTTATATCCCATGTAATTGATTATAAGTGCTTTTAACAGCATCGTACTGTAGTATTATAGTAAAGTTGCGTTAATCAATGTACTGGTGCCAGTGTTGCCTGTTTTACTACACAGTCAGGATAGTGATGCTCCTATGTGTGTCTGGATATTGGAACTTCCAATAAATCAGGAACTAGGTTTGGACCGAGACAAATCCGCACAGAGTCGGTTCTCTTGAGAAATAACAACTCTATCGGTAAGAAATCATCAGAAGTAGGTTAATTATTTAAAGAAAAACATGCAAACAAATCATCAAATAACATGTTAAACAATTTAAAATGAGATTTGATTAAGTAGCCAAATAAAAACAACTGAAAGGGGCTAAATTGCATAATTCAGTCTCCATGCAGTCTCTAGCATAGTAAATCACTCAATACACAAGTGTGGCTAATTATTGTAAAAAGCGAGGAGGATAAATCATGAGAAAACAGAGACCACTTCCAGATGACCCCCTAATTTGCCCTCTATTTTAGCTATGACAAATTCAATTTTCTGTTTACTTTGTACTAAAGCTAAAAACATTTCAACGTCCTAATTCGATCCTTGAAATCCGCATAAATCTGGAGATATAGATCAGAAGTTATTTTTTGAATGTTATGCTTCTTCATGCTGACATTTCATCCTTTTATTTTGAATCTTGAATTTAGATTTTTGCAATATAAAAGCACCAAAAGCCCCCCCCCCCCCCCCAAAAAAAAAAAAAAAAAAAAAAATTAATAATAAAATAAAATAAAATAAAATAAGGCCAGATTACATTTGAAACTAACTAATTTTTATTCCAGTAGATTGTATCTCAACCTAATCTCAATATAATTCTACATGTAGAACTAGTAAAGTAGTAAAAGTATGAATTGGATTTTTAAAAAACACATAATTACTCATTACAATAAAGTTTTCTTATAATGCTTATAATTGGGTATTCACCCAATCCCTTTAATTACTATTTCTTCAAAATCTTTTTTTTTCAGGGCTTCAGAATTGTTCCTGCGGAAGAATGTTGGCACAAGTCGATGAACCCACTGATGGAGGAAGTCAGGGCCATGATGGGAGATGGACCGGTCTATCTGTCCTTTGATATCGATGGTATAGACCCAGGACTATGCCCTGGGACAGGTATGACATCTTGTTTATTTATTTATTATTTATTTATTATTTATTCGGCAATTCACAAGAAATATGACAATGTAAATATAGGTAAACAAACATTAAGAGAATGTCAATTATAAATGCACAATCCTCCTGGAGGTCCTCTGAGTGTATCAGTTGGCTGCCAGGGAAGAGGAAAGCAAACTTAATCACTGAAACCGTATTGGTCCCTCTTCCCGACCAACTGGTGCACCCAAAGGACCTGCAAAATATAGCATGAAGGTAATTAAAATATATAACATTTCATAAACAAACCAGCTAACAAAAACAAAGCATTAAAGCCTGTCTGTACTAGTTTGGCTAGGGGGGATTAGACCTCCCTGTAAGGTCACTGACAGGTGGTTATCTCATCAAATCAGCTCTCGATTAACATAAGAAAAAGGGGATCATGGGGGACCAACAGGCACCCATTAGGCATTGTTTGCTTTATAGAGGGCGCATGCAAGTAGCTATAGGTCGTGCGGTGGGGCTTTAAACCCATCGACTACTGAGTTCTCCACTTCCTATAGGCTTAATTCGGTGACCATCCGGTACCAGTACGCAATGGTTTAATGATGTAAAGACATGAAGTAATTCAAATCAAGCCAAATGATTATGGCCCTTAATCTCAAAAGACACTTAACTTTAGGCTAGCTACAATCCCGTCTTAAGCCTCGTTCAAATATAAGGTTAACAGATTATTTGAAAGCACCTACATTGGCCCGAATTCACAAAGGAGGATCAAGTTGAGCTTGCCTTGCGCGCGTCTGATATTGGCAACGCATTAATCTACATTCATCACTCCATACCCAGGAGATATATGGGGACCTGGTAGGATGTCAAAAGCCTTTGAGTGTTATTCTCGAAAGCGGAATAACTTTAGTCCATGGTTTATCCCACCGACTAAGTCTGGAATGCCAAGTGTCCATATACTGTATGTCCATAATTTAATCTGTGACTTAAGTAAAATAAAATGTAATAACTTAATTGATAAACAATAATATATCTATGATATAATTATGTTATCATGGTAGTTCAGGGACATATCAAATTATTCAAAAATATATTCATATGGACATTTGGCATTCCATACTTAGTAGGTGGATTAAACCATGGACTAAATTTAGTCCGCTTTTGAGAATACCACCCCTTGTGTTTAATAGCAATTGCAATACGCCCTCACGGTGACCATATGGTAGGACTACTCCCCAGGGAGTGGAGATGGTGCACATGGCGGGCGAATGAAACCAATGACGGGTAATAGCATCTGCAAGCGCTTAGAGACGGTATTTCGTATTAATCGCTTAATAAATCCAGATTATTATTATGAACATCGTTATCGATCTGGTTTTAGGTACTCCTGAGATTGGTGGTCTGACATCCATCCAAGCTATGGAGATAATCAGAGGATGTCAAGGTCTTAACCTTGTAGGTGGTGACCTTGTTGAGGTGGGTTCATAGATCTTAAAGGCATCGATCGTTTAACAATGTTAAATCTGAGATGCATGGTATCAGTGTTTGTGATATGGTATAATATTGAAGCCCTAAAAAAATTGCGCTTCAAAATTACCATGAAGTGCCTCAAAAGAGTAAAAATCTTTGAGTGACCAGTTATACCATACTCATTTTTTTCCAATAGACTGTATTGTTATAAAAACCGGAAAGAAAATGGTTTTTGAAATTTCAATTTCCAATCATAAATATCTTGATAATCAGACAGATCGACTTGAAAAAGTCATGGGGTTCCTGACTGACCCTAAAGGTTTATAATTATCATTGCAGCATGAGCTAAATCCAGGATTTTTATTTCAGAATCTGAGACAAAGTTACCCAATCCCTTTATAGGTTTTATTCTTTAGAACATCAACGTAAACATAATACAAAATATGTGTTACATTTGTTATACAAAATAAACAATAATGCTGTTGAACACATTTATTACTTCAACTTTAGATAGATGGTGTAATTCATTATAACATGATATGTCATTAAAACATTTTTTGACAGAATGAAATACATCACAAGACACAACATGAAATTAAAAACCCATATTTCTTTGAAATCTTTGCACCATTAGTAATTTCACACATTACGAAACGCAGAAAAAAACCTATCAATATTTTGCCACTTTGTCATTTGCTTCTTGATTTTTTGTTTTTCCTCTTTGCAATGAAATCCTCAGTCGACTTGTATGACACAATATAATTTATCAAATTAAATTTACTTTTGCTCTAGGTTTCAACAGTGAACTAAAGCCCCAAGTTGACTGTATTACACTATGCCTTTACAGATATGAGAGTTATTTGGTGTTGGAAGTACATACATGTGTATAATTTACTTTGAAAGTTAAACTTTTAATCTCAGTACAGAATATTAACCACCACAATGTTATGTTCAGCTACAGCCTTCGTCAGTGATGTGGCCCGGAGGGGGAGGGGGAGGGGGGGGGGGGGGTATTCAGATTTGGTCTGGACGGGGGTGTACCACTCACGCCTCTAAACCCTATCCATTATTAGGTGGCATTTTTCTAGAAAACAGACCCATTTTTCACAATTTTCGGTTGTAGGAAAGTTTGGAAATTTTGTAATAGTATTCTTGTTAAAAGTTGGACCCATGTTTAGGGATTTTTTTGTGCAAAAGAGACTCATTTACATGAACCGTCGAATCCGTCCACTGAATTCTAAATCTTACTTTCGAGATAAACGCGTTTAAAAGTTTGACATTTTCCAACAGCGCTATAGCGCAATGTACGATAATTGCTATTGATAATTTTTAGATAGTGTGAATGCCTGAAACCAGCTTATAATCACCATATAAAAAACTATTCATAATTTTGAACGATCGTCGAGTAATGATAAAATAAGAATAATGATGTAATTCCGCACTACGCCTTTTCCACCGAAAGTGGCAAACGGAGCGCATTCGACGGTTCATAAAACCGAAAGTGAATACGCGCAGCACAAAAGCGCTGAATGCGCATGGATTCGTCGGTTCATGCAACCGTTCTTGCTCGTTTAGTACACGCGCCCAATGCGGGTCATCGAACTTTTAATGTTGAACTGTTCGAGCTTACCTATCGAGTAATTTGGTTTTGGCCTACTACTTTCATTTTTCTTAATGAGACTTTAATTGATAAATGAATAATTCAGGAAATATCAGGACTTCATAAACATTTCCTTAATAGTGATCTCCCTTCAAATTTTGTTCCTTATAATATTGTTTCCGTTTCAATTTGTCTAATTAGCCGCCCTACCTCCCCCCCCCCCCCCCATCACATCTTGTTTCCCCAATCGTTTTCTATATAATTCATCTTTATATGGAGTTGAATTCAACCACTCATTGAATCATTGCATACTGCTTGGCCTCTCGATCATACCACTTCATTACATTCTTTATCCTCTTTCTGATTTCTCTTTCACTTTTCTGAATCAATTTTCGCTCACACACCCTCGTAATTTGGGTATTTTCATGATATAATTCCATTTCCAACACTCCTACCTGATTGTATACCATCTCTCTTCAAAGACCTTGATTTATATGAACTAAATTTAACCATAAACTAAACACATTATTGATATCGGGCTTGACATGTAGCATCTAGCTACTTCTAGTATAGGAAATAATCCTGAACTGAAGATTGTAACCCCTTTTCCTGAAGTATGACAGGTAGATTACTACAATTATGTTGAAACATTGTATATATATGTTATCAAATAATAACTAAACACAACTAAATTATATTTTCACATCTAAACTTTATTTGACATCAATATTAAACACACTAGATAAAGCTTATTTAATAATCAATTATCACAAATTACAACTCTTTGAGTTATAACAACTGTGGCATTGATACCACTGACGATTGTAGTGCGAGATAATCTAAAACACATCATAATCCTATATATTTAGGTAAAGTAACAGGACAATTTTTGAGTGTTACACATATTTGATGAATAAAATAAATTCAATTCAAATCATGCGCCATTCAGTGTACTTATTTTCTTGGGCTACATCATGAATTCAGCACAAGTTACATAATATTATCATGAGATTCAAAACGATTTGAGTAAAGGTCAAATAAAGCTCTGCATTAAAGTGAACTGGTAACAATGTTCATGATTTCACAAGCAGTGAGCTGAAATAACAAGCCAGAAAGTTTAACTTTTCCAGTTCAAATCAGCTGCTGACCTGGTATACTATACCTCATATTGTCCAATAGGTAATGCACAAGAACAATGGTTTTCATGAAACCATTTAACACTATTCACACATATATTTTAAGTGAAGATATGTTTTTTGAAATTATTTGTATTTACAGTGCGTTATTCCTTCATCAAAAGTTTTAGAAACAGTATCACGATTTCAAAAAACTCTCTAATACAATGCCGCCAGTTCACTAATTGTTATTAAATGCCCCTTGTCAATGCCCCTTTTGGTAACTTTGCCTTGAACTTGTACTGATCTTCAATACCTAATATAAATAACCACTTAAAGAGGTAATGTTCAACACAGTAAGGGCTCAACACGATGTATGATCATGAACCCAACACTATACATAAGCCCATTAAGCCGGCACCCATTGGCACCAAACAAATTGAACATCCTTGCCCAACTGTCAGCTATTGTAGCTTTAACCAGATGTGACAGCTTGAAATATTCTATTTTACAATAGTGGGCAAATAGCAAAAGATAATCAAAATAACTTGGATATGAATCATAATTACAACATGCAAGCATGCTCCATCGTTGTAACCATAGAATCATGAAAGGTTTTACATTCATTTGCATCAATTTATTGACAATTAAATTAGGCTGAATCTTTTATATTTTTCATTCATCACTTTGCTATTTATAATTATGAAATTCTTAACCTTGAAATCTTGATGTTCTTACAGGTGTAATAATAATATTCTGCTTTTATATAGCGCATGATACATCAATAAAACGATGTGTCTAAGCGCTTTACAGATATATATATCATTACCTAGTCATCGGATTTAGGCTTGCCCGCACACAATGTATGCACGTTCTCCACTCCCTGGTGAGCATTCCGCCCAGTCCCCATTTTACAAACGCACACTTGCTCATCCAACTACATTAACTTTTGCATCCTACCGGGTACCCATTTAACACCTGGGTGGAGAGTGACAAATGTAGATTAACATCTCGCCAAAGGACATTAGTGCTGCAGCAGAACTTGAACCCTGTACCTTGTGATGTGCAGTCGGATGACTTATCCACCAGACCACAACACCTCTATAAGTAAAGTTGAGTTATCACATTCCTGGAATCTGGTGGTACATGTACAAGAGATTGCAGCACAAAGCAAGTTCAGGACATCTCCACCTGAAAATAAAATAAAAAGATATAGATATAGGCATAAATAAAATAGACAAAAAATCAAACTGCATGTGATGTCTTGCCTGCACCTCGCAATTTGCCTATTAAGTATGAACACTTCCAATTGATATCTATAAGAAATTTGGTAGCATTCGGCCAAGTTGACTAAAAACAGGTGAAATGACCAACCACTGGATGGCAACACTATTCATTCACTAAAACATAATTGATTTTTGATCTTGGTGATGAAAGTCTTCCTCATAATTTTTGGATGCAGGTTTAATGAAATTTGGACATATACTTTTGAAATGAGAATTTAACAAAGGTTATTGTTTTAAGCAAAATATAACACAAGTGACTATAATTTACCTTTGACCACGACCTTGGATATGAAAATTCTTCCACATAATCTACATGTATGATCCTTAATTATGACAAGTTTCATCAAATTTCTTCCACATAATAAAGTGATGCTTGATAATAGGCCATTTTTGTAATGTAACCAAATTTAATGCATAAGTCTTTGTGAAGTGCCTCAATACATGTTATTTCATTCACCTGAAAAGAATAATAGTATTTCAATAGACAGAATCCGAACTGAACACATTAGTTGTTGCCAGGTTGGACAAACATTATGGCTTGACCTACCTAGCAACACTAAATATATGCAGTTTGTCTCCTGACTATTGAAATACTATCATTCTTATAAGGTGAATGAAATAACTTGTACTGAGGCACTTCACAAAGACTTATGCATTAAATTTGGTTACATTACGAAAATGGCCTATTGCTATGTGCAATTTTCATCAAATTTGGACATAACCTTTTGAAATGAGAGTGATTTTTAATTTTTGATGCCGCGGTACCTATGTCTCACTCTAGCTATGCAGACAAGACAAAAAAATCTTCAGAGAATCATGACAATTAAATAATGACTCTGTAAATCACTCTGCTATCACAATTATTCTTTTGTTGAACAAACAAGACATAAAGAAGACATAAAGAAGAAAAAAAGGTCAAACTGAATTACTTACCAGATCACACAGCACTCTTCACCAGAATGCAGCTAAAGGTCATGCCAGGATTTCTGTGAGAAACTTCCAACTATCTATTGCTGGAAAACAAATGAAAATTTTCAAAAAAATTAATTATTTGCCAAGTTGACCTGGCCGGGTCTTGTCATAGATTACAGTTGAATTCATAAACATACCGTTTCACTGGTTCTGAGATAAAAATTGGATAACTCGTATAAAGCAATTCCATAAATTTCGCCTTTGGAATTACGTAATTTAAATTTTAAAAACTTTACATAGAAAAGAAATATGTATTTTTTTATCAAAGCTTTGATAATTTTTCTTCTGTCTGATTTTTCTATTTCAATTAGATCTAAATCAAGAAAAATGGGGGAGAAATTTTTTGTACCAGAACTTCCAGAAGTAGTACAAAATTGGTAGCAATCGATCAATCTACCCCCATTGTGCGAGCTGTAAAAAGTACTGTCTACATGGGAAATGTTGGCAAAAGTCTGTTTTTATTAAAGAATGACCCATACCAGACGGTTATTTCTGTCTAACCCAAACCATGCTAACCCAATCCTGACCTAAACTGAAGTAGTCTTACATTCTTAATAATCACCAACCTAGACCGAAAAATCAGGTCAACGTTGCTATTGATAAGGACCGCTATTGATAAGGGCCGCTATTCATAAGGCTGCTTTTCATAATTTGAGAAAAGAGTTTCTATTCATAATACTAGAAAACGGTCGCTATTCATAAACGACAAGAGGGTCGCTATTCATAACACAAAATGAGGGTCGCTATTCATAATACGGAATGAGGGCCGATCGCTATTCATCAGGATCATTATTCATAATCGAAGAAGAGGGTCACTATTTATAACACGAGAAGAGGGTCGCTATTCATAATACAAGAAGAGAGTCGCTATTCAGAAAACGAGGAGAGGATCGCTATTCATAAATTTTAATGAGGGTCGCTATTCATAATAGGAGAAGAGGGTCCCTATTCATACAAAAATGAAAGTCAGATAAGCAATAAACAAAATGATAATAAAAAAGCAAAATGGATAGGGGACACCCCACGACTGTGGCATGGGTGCAGGGGCGGGGGGGGGGGACGTCACATGGCCCCGAATATTTGTAGAAAATATTCATTGAAAACATACATTTTTTTTAAAAGAAAAAAAAGGCATGCCCCAATAAGATATGTGACCCATCATTCCGGGCCCTAGCCCCCTCCCCCCCCCCCCCCAATCAGTCTGACCAAGCTGCACGATTCGGCCCACCCACCCTGAAGTATTTCCTTGGTACAAGTGCATATTGTCGACAATTCTCGTCCAAGTAGTTCATAGATGGCGTAGCCTGTGTGTGTTTCATTGGGGGAGGGGTTGGTGGGGGTGTAGCACCGTTGGCATCAAGGGGCTGATCTAACATATCCCTAATCCTCAGCAAAGGAAGGAAGCGACAGAGAGGGGGTTATAGGGACTTAAGTTGTATACTATATTCAAGCTTTTCGTAAATAAACAATATTACAAGGAGGATTTTCAAGATTTTAAGCCATATAAGATACGATTTTGTGACCTTAAGGCATTATGGGAACGATGGCCTCCCCTGTATCATGTCTTTTTAAAAGCATATTTTTCTTTTCAGCTTTGATAATTATATAGACATCCCCATAATCTAGCTAATATATTTGCCCAGCTCCAGTGGGGACAAGAGAAAGGAAAACAAAACACACCCATAATCCTATTGTAATTTGTCCCCTTTGTGGAAATCTTGCTCCCCCTACCCCCCCCCCCCCCCTCAAATGAGAGTCAAACTTATGAACATTTATTTTGGTGACAATTAAGACGATACATTTTACAATGAAACCACCTCAGCCCCCCCCCCCCCCAAAAAAAATAATAAATAAATAAATAAATAAATAAATAAATAAAAAAATAAAAAATAAAAAAATAAATAAATAAATAAAAAATAAATAACTATAAATGTCCAATATCTGACTGTCCGAGTTGTCATCATATAGGCGTAGGCGGCATGGGGGTGGAGGGTGGGGCTGGATATTTCATAATTAAAATAAAAAATTTATTGATTTAAAAAGAATTTGTGAATGTATGGAGAGAAAAGGTGAGTAGATCTACACAAATCACAGACCAATTAAGACTGTTGCAGTTTGTCTCAGTATCATCAGGACAGAGCCATTACCAATACCAGCCAGGCCCCTATTTCTATTAGTTATTAGCGTTCCCGCACAGAAATTGTACCCATGACATTGTGCACATAATTTTTTGGAATAGAATACTCATCTTTCTATTACAATAATATCAAAACAAAACAAAAGGCAAGGGATTCAAAAAATGAATGGTGCCACAATTATTTGCATACTAAGTTAACTAGCACTAACAGTAGTTAGATCTAAATCTAGACAAAATCTAGTCACAAATTTCAAAGTTAAACTCATAGTCTTAAAGCACCCTGACACTTCCACGATATTGGTTTGCGCATGGTTTGCCCATTGTTTCATGTCACGTTTTTGCCATAACAGGAAGCGTTTGCGGAACATGCTGGAGGATGATCGAGGCTGATGCGGGACAAAGCTTGAAATTTGTGGCAGAATTTTCAAAATGTTTAAAATTTTGGCACAACAAATTTGGTGGACGTCTTTCGTGAACACTTCAGGAATTATGAGTATCCTATACGTATTCTACCTGTGTCCATACTGACTGGTGCGTGCCAATGCCCCGAGTGACACGCATGTTTACGACTAGTTCACGATGGATTTACGAATAAATTGCTCATAATTTGTGGATACTTCCCGCAGTTTTCACATTACTTGCGCACTGTCTACGCACAGAAAACTAAGGAAAACAGGAAAAGAAAAAGTGACCGCTGAAAGCATCTTCTCCTTCTTCTTCAAGATAATCTGCCTCCTTCAATACTGAAGATTCTTGCAGATGCCGTATACTCGGCCTGATTGGGGTGTGCAGGTGGACCATTACACCGGTGTTTCCCCCTACTCTTATACGAAAAGTGCAATGGGTTCTTAACGTGCAAGGGTGGTGACTCTTTTGTACACGGGACCTCCATTTAACGTCCTATCCGAGGGACGGAGTGTTTTCCACTTGACATAACCTGCGTCTATGAACAAGGGAAGGGGCACATTAACACACAATGCAGACATCAGTCATCCGCCTCGGTGGGAGTCGAACCCGGGATCTTTGGTTCGACAGGCAGACGCTTTACCGACTGAGCCAACTCGCCTACTCATTGCACTGCTTGAATAATAATGGCGTGAACAATATTTAAGTATGGCGTATATGCAGGAATAAAAATTTGTGGAAGTTTCAGGGTGGCTAAACTCTTATTTGACTTAGTCTAAACTCTAGTTTAAAATAAAATGAATAGTAGATTCTAGTGAGTGACAACCATGACCAACACCATGCATGCATAGATCTAGTACAATTAATTTCAACAGTTAATAGTCTACCCATATTTTAAAAAAATAGGGAAATGATAACACATTAGACTTAGATTTAAGATTCATAGTACGAACAATCGTCCGTCTCGACTTGGACCTATATTGTCCATTGTCCATTGAAATTGATTTTATCTAAATCTCTAGATTTACTAACATCTAAATCAACAGGTGGGACAATCAGAGTTTTGAGTTCGAAATATCTGCTTAAATGTGTTATAAATTGATATAATTTAAGCAGCGACTTCAGATTTTCATTACATTCATGCATCTAATCTCATAAAAGTCCAACTAGGTACACGAAACACAGTTTACTTACCAATTTTTACATCCCGTTCAGACGATGCTACAGATTCGACGGTTCATCGTCTGCTAGAATTGAAGGAGGGCGGGTTTCATGAACCGTCGAATGCGGATTCGTCGGTTCATATATACTTAATAACACTAGAGGGCGTACTCGCTCAAATTGCTGTGTTGACCTGGAGCGGTGGCCGCCATTACTAAGGAGGGCAGAAAAACGAACGACCCAACAAGATACTGTGCACAACTTACGTGGAAAAATTTGGAGAAGCCAGGTTCGTGCGATGCATTTGGATGTTCGAACCGAAGAAAGAAAGGGAACTGCCTAATAGTTCACAAGTAAGTTCTTCTTAATGTTATGTTGATTAATAAGGAGATTTTGGAGCTAAAAATGTAGTTTATGCAGTGACTGTAGTCTGTACCCGGCACGGGTTGTCTCATGACAAGCCACCGCAGCTCCTGCAGCAGCGGAGCGCGCCAGTCCACGCCCGCCTGGCTGGGGCAGGCATGGGTTAAGGTTCTGGGGACGGTGATGGGAAAATTCTGCTGCGCTGGAGTCGCTCGCAACTCCAAGAGCCAGAGAGTCCAACTCGGAAATATAACTCCATGAGTTTGATTCTATTAAATAAAATGATATAATTAATTTTATCTTATCTAATTTCAAGATAAAAATCAAATGTCAACTTCTGACTTTATATTTTATTTTTAACTAGTCTATATCTAGGCTAGACTCTCGATCTAGATCTAGACTCTAGATCTAAACTCTAGTCTCTAATTTCTAAAGCCTGAAAGGCAAAGCCAGGCTAGACAGAAATAACCGTGTGATATGGGTCATTTCTTTAATAAAACTGACATTTGTTGACATTCCCCATAATATAATCAGAGGTCTAGTGCCAGCCAGACGCAGTCTCAGTAGAACAACCGACGATATAGAGAGACTGAAGCTTTTGGTCTAAGCCAGGCTAGCCTGCCATATTTCACATCACAGGAGTTATCCAACTACCTTAGGCTAGCCTAAAAATCCCACCGCACACTACACTATTTCTATCAAATGACATTATTTTATTCATTTGGCTGGAAGCTGCTTTCAGTTTCAGTCTTAAAAATCACATGAAATAGCATGAATAGTAGAACAATTGTCATGTTATGAGAAAAAACTCATTATTGTTTCCATTTGCTTTTATTGTAATGCAGGAATACACCCAAGAGAGGAAAGGATGTTACACACCACATCTCCTTCCTAGAGCTGTGCCTACTGTCTTTCCTGGACGTCCTCCCTATAAACAGACCCATGGCTCAAGACTCCCAGCAAAACCATGTACAACATCCGAAAGTGTTCCCGTGCCTCCAAAGAAACCCTATGACATTACAAAAGAACATGACTATTCTTTTTCTGTCTGAGTTGATTAGAAACTGAATATAACCAGACAGCAAGTGCAGGATGCCAAGAAAAAAAAAGTGGTGAAACAAGGTAAACAGGAAAGATGGAAAAACCAGGACTCTCTTGCAGGAAGTCCACGAAAGCAAGCTCATTAGCCAGGATCAGCTTGACCTACTTCAACACAACTTTGGAGAGAACGCATTTTCAGGAAAAAAAACCAAAACATAGAACTTCATTCGTACAAACTACAAAGACAGATCGGTCTTTTATATTTTGCCTCTTGTCTGCATAGCTTATCCACTGGATGATTGACTGTGAAGCCGTTTAAAACTGGAGAGAGCTTTCAATAATCTTTTAAAATAACAGAACAATCTGAGACTTTTGTTCTGTGTAATGAAATAAAATTCTTGGGACACATTGTGACAGTTGCACAACCTAACCATAATTTTCTGTTTGTTAACTTTACACGAAGGCAAACTAAAGAGGAACTTAGAAGAGTTGATTAAATTAGGGGTTAAACAAAATGTACCTGAATTTTGAGGTACACTGTATTTGAATATTTACTCTATAAGGGTCATTCCATGTCAAATCACCCAAAAAATCTGAAAATCTTAACCCGACCATTTTTGATTTTGATGAAACTTAGTATACTTGTTGAGTGTGATCTCACAGCACCAAATCCAAAATTTTAGGTCAATCGGGTGAGGGGTTTGGGAGATACGGCCCACCAAATTTTGAGATTTTTTCAAAAATGGGGGTGGCGGGCCTACCTTTGAACCCTTGTATCTCGGGACCTAATGGGTCAATCTTCACAAAATTTGTATTGTTTTAAAGGGTATTCAATAAGGATTCCAAATCTGCCGCCATTTTGAAGATTCGTACATGTTGGGGTACTTTGACCTCTTGACCTCAGATTTAACCTTGAAATTGACCTTGTGGATCACGTAACTTTGACAACATTTTTCATGAAATGTAATCTCTGACATGTTCACTAAAACATATTAAAGTTTCAGAGATATAATATTTTTTGTTTTGGAGTAATAAGGATTGAAAGTATCCATGCTCACAGATATTCACAATAAACCCTATTATAATGTATACAATACATGCAATATGCACAGTACAACATACATCTTCCACATGTTTTTTTGTTTTAGTCACATCCATCCTAAATGTCAGCAGTACTTGAATAGAAATAAAATGACAAGTTCATATAGGCCTAAAGGGTTAACAGGATGTATGGCTTTAGACCTCTGAGTCGGTTCTAGGATAATTACCCCCTGGAAAATTCACCCCCTGAAAACTACCCTCTAAGGACAATTACCCCAGAGGTCAATTACCCCCCCCCCCCTATTCGTTAAAGTGGAAGTCCAAACTGATAAGGTGGTTATAATCAAAGCAGATTTATTTTTTGGGGTATATTATTCTTGAGGGGTAATTTTCCCGGGGGGGGGGGGGGGGTAATTGTCCTAGGGGGAAATTGTCCGGGTGTTGATTGTCCTTGGGGGGGGGGGGACAGATTGTCCTAGGAGGTAATTTTCTGAGGGGTAATAATCCTCTGGGTGTGATAGTCCTTGGGGGGGGGGGGGGTAATTGTCCTCAGGGGGGGGGGGTAATTTCCTGAGGGTTAATTTTCCAGGGGGGTAATTATCCTAGAACCGACTCAGAGGCCTAAAGCCATACATCCTGTTAACCCTTTAGGCCTATATGAACTTGTCATTTTATTTCTATTCAAGTACTACTGACATTTAGGATGGATATGCCTAAAACAAAAAAGCATGTGGAAGATGTATGTTGTACTGTGCATATTGCATGTATTGTATACATTATAATAGGGTTTATTGTGAATATCTGTGAGCATGAATACTTTCAATCCTTATTGCTCCTAAACAAAAAATATTATATCTCTGAAACTTTTACATGTTTTAGTGTACATGTCAGAGATTACATTTCATGAAAAAAGTTGTCAAAATTACGTGATCCACAAGGTCAATTTCAAGGTCAAATCTGAGGTCAAGAGGTCAAAGTACCCCAACATGTACGAATCTTCAAAATGGCGGCAGAATTGGAATCCTTATTGAATACCCTTTAAAACAATACAAATTTTGTGAAGATTGACCCATTAGGTCCCGAGATACAAGGGTTCAAAGGTAGGCCCGCCACCCCCATTTTTGAAAAAATCTCAAAATTTGGTGGGCCGTATCTCCCAAACCCCTCACCCGATTGACCTAAAATTTTGGATTTGGTGCTGTGAGATCACACTCAACAAGTACACTAAGTTTCATCAAAATCAAAAATGGTCGGGTTAAAACCATTGGGTGATTTGACATGGAATGACCCATAAGCTTCATAATTGTACCTGCAATATCTGATTCAGTTGCTATAATTTTTGCAAATTATTTGCACTCTACATGTGCTTTGATTCTGCAGGTACAGTATGGATAACCTGAGATAAACATGTAGACCTTTTTTATAACATTGTCTGGATTGTTCTCAACCAAGTGATTTACATCATTAAAGATGAAAAGCAAGAAATTCACATCAAGTGAGCCCATTTTCAATAAACGAGAAGAATTCACAGATGAGTGGCAATTGAAAAGCTTGTGTAATGCACAGTTGCACACCATATACACACCCGTAGATCGTTTTGTACATAGGTTTGAATTTTGTTCCAAAATGGAAAACTGCTTTTGAAGAGATTTGATAACAGAGCAATTATATGGAATAATGTCACTAGATGTAAACCCATAAGATTGTGCACTCTTTGGCTTGTTGTATCTACTGTGTACATTTGAGGGTAATCAGTTTCAAATTTATTATTATACCTGATGAATAATGATGTCAAAAGACCATGTTACTATGAGGTTTCACTGAATAGTGTAGTGCAGTATCCTGAGATGTAAGTCTCATCAATTAGAGTTCTTCATAGCTATACAGGTGACTTGGAATACATATGCTCAATTACTTTTTCTGGTTTGCATTTATTACTCGATGAAATGTCTTTGTATTATTAGTAAATGTGACGCGCCTGCGTGCGCTTGGAGCCAAGACTAGTTAATAAAGTGTTTGTTATCGCTGACATCTTGACACATAGACATTGGCCTCCTGACATGTTTTGGGAGTTATTGTGGTGGTTTTGGGATGTGTGATGCTTGTCTTTGGTGGCGAATCAATTTGTCGTGGTTGTGTTGCCTATGATAAGAAATTGCTAACCTGTTTGGGAATAAAAATTTCGCCCCCGGCCCCTTCTGGTGCTTATAATCCTGTTTTTGCCTATTTTTAAGCACAAATTGCCTATTTATAACGGCCCCTCCAGGAAAGAAAAATTCCCCTCCATATAGTAGTTAAATTTGGCCCTTTGATTGATTTCAAGAAACGTCCTCCCTGCCGCTCCCGGCCCACGGCGAGTATAGGCCTACCGTTTGTGACTTAACTTGGTTAACACACTTAGACTTTGACAGAAGAATTCCTCATTTTAGAAGAAGTATAAGTTTACAATTGAATTTACGAAATAAACTTATATGCCAAGGATAATAATAAAGATTGTCTTTCAACGATGAAATGAAAACTAAAATTCATGATTTAATTAATGGTACAAAAGTAAAAGAGCATCAAATAAAAACAAATAATAGTCACACAGACATTGACGGTAAAGATTAAGAAAGAAGACCAGAATTCCCATGTCTGCAAACAGCATTGCAGTCTTCAAGACAATGTTGAATAGAATGCAGTATGTAATGCTTTAAAATTAAAGATATTACCAACACAGATTTCGAAATAAAAAATCAAAAGAAGCCCTCTACACCGTGTGAGTCAAAAAAAGTTTACACCTAGAAAATTGCTAATTATTTTAAAAATCATCTATGAACAGTAAATTATTATACATCTTATGAAAGAGTGTTTTATCCCAAATCGTTTGGTATCACTTTTGTGTGGTATGTGTTAACGCTGGGATGAACAGGAGGCATTGTTTGCGAGAGTGCAAAAATCAACTTGTGCCAAAGTGATGCCTACAGTATGTTCGGATTAGCGGAGTGAGAGAATGAATTTAATGTATCAAATGAAATGGATTGCATATGCGTTTTGCAAAAGCAAAGTCACATACACACACGCGCGCACAAAATGTTCGTTGATATTTAATATGTGTGGCATGATTAATTTTGTTAGGAATGTTATTTGGATCTGCAAAGACCGAATTAATACCCAAATCCCAATTGTTTTTATGTGACATCACATAAGCAACTTTGGCGCAAGTCGAATTTTGCACTCACGCAAAAAATGCCTCCTGTTCATCCAAGCGTAAACACATACCCCACAAAAATGATACCAAAATGATTTGGGATAAAACACTCTTTCATCAGATGTATAATAATTTACTGTTCATAGATGATTTTTAAAAATAATTAGCAATTTTCTAGGTGTAAACTTTTTTTGGACTCACACTCTATTAATCGAAGTAAACCACAACCACCGGATTTTACACGTAATCCGCCGCGGTTTGTGGAGGGGTAACCGCATTATATTACCGCATTATATCTGAACAAACTTTTATACGATTCCCACTATTCCGAATTATGGGTTGCGAAGTAAAGATGAATAGAAGTAAAACTCAAAAAATGTAATCAGGTCCTTTGGACGTGTTGTAGTTGGGGAGTTCAGTCCAATCTCGTTGTCATGTCAGCGTTGCCAAGCCCTTAGCCCACTAAAACAAAAAAGATTACGAGAAGATAAATAAAACGCAACGAATGCATCCACCACGTATTACAACAATATGATTTAAGGGCAAAGTTAACATTAGTTGTAAGTTTTATGAAAGGGAGCCCCGGTGTAAATGGGTATAAATGAATCTCTCTCTCTCCTGTTTCATATAGAATCCACCACTGTCTTTCTTCCTTCCATTCGGTATCTTATATCTCCTGTTTGGTTGCTTACAGTCTTCTTTTCTTTCCATCACACACCCTTCCATTTTTTTTGGGACCTAGTCCTGTTTATTATCGTGCAATATGTTTACATTGAGAGCAGCGAGGTAATTGGATGCAATGCTAATGCATTTAACAGTCATGTATTTGCTTTTGTATTACATTTTCATTAATGATATCTATTTCATGTACCTATTACTTTCTATTCTACATGTTTTCTTATTGCTGCAATTTGTATAAATATTGTATTTAACTTGCACTGTAGAAACATGTACAATTCAGTTTGTGACTACCAGTCATGTTTAAAGGGGTAGTCCACCCTGATGTTGAATTGGTTTTAATAGAAGCAGAAAAATAAAAGAAATATGTCAGTGAAAGTATGAGCAAAAACGGATTAGAAGTATCAAATCAAATACAAATTGACAACTCTGTGAGGTATCTTGCGAGGTCCCTTCCAATTTGCCCTGTTTGTAGTAGGTCCATGGTAATACTAAAAAAATCAAATCAAAAAATGATATCTTCCCTTCAGAAAATGTTCAATCATATTACATTCACCCTAAATATAATTATTGCAAATGTGTCAATAATACAACCCCCGTATAACCCTTAATATTCTGTCATCAATAACTAAGAAAGTGACAATTTATGAAATTTTCTGTACAGAGAGAATTAGAGAGGAGCTCGCACGATATGTCACAGTGTTGCCATCACTGATGACAACTTAAAAATTCATAACTTTTCTAATTTAATCGGATATTGCTCAAAATTTCACTAATTTATTTGTCTCATTTTTCTGATATACTAGGGTTGACTTCCCCTTTAAAGATACTATGTCCCTTTTGCAGCCAACATCAAATTCTGTAGAACTTTGCAGGAATTATGAATATGTCACGGATGACCTATCTGTGAAATTTAAACGTTAGCAAGGAAACCCGTTTACTTGCTAGACTTCGCTGTCAGACACTATTGAGTGACTGACTAGCTTTTTTTTTCCTTCTTTGGTATTAACATACATAAAGTGAGCTGTAAAGGGTACATGATCATTTGTCTACATCAATAACCCACTTCTTGTAATGGCCAAATTAAAGTGATTGAATCTTTGCGCAGCATAAAACGTATGACCATTCGGTACAATGGTCTGAAAATCAGACTATTACTTACTGGCTCTATAGCTCTTAAGTCGATTTGACTACTATTAGTCGTTATTTTCCCACTTAAAGCAGTTTTCAAGCACCCTTTTTTTAGGGAAGTTCTAAATTAGTATTATCTTTCAAATGCCGTTGAAATTTAACCTTTTCATTATTTTTGGCCTGCAAATGGGATTTAGTACCTTGAAATAAACCTTGAATTGAATTGAATTGAATTGAATTGAATTGAACTAAATTGAATTGAATACTTACAGGTGCAAAGATTATTCTCGCAGCTATATGTATCTCCTTCACTATCAGGGCAACTAGAACAGGGCACACCTGATTCGTATGGGCGATGGGTCACATTACCTCTGGAAGATAGTAAAAGAACCATTCAATATCAAGACTTTAAGTCATAAATTACAAGTTTTATTTAATAATCCCATCATTCTTCACTATTTTTAATTAAAAATTGTTCAGATGTGGTTGACATTTTTATAAAATGCATTGTACTTTTCCTTAGGGGAAGCGGGGGGGGGGGGTTACCTTTTAGTTTAGTTTCATGTTCTTAATTTATAGAATTGTATATATAGCATCAAATTGTTTCATTTTTTTATTTTGCACATCTTGATATATATGTTTACTTTACAGTAAGTATTTGTTTTTTCTTTCTGACGTTTTGACAATTATGTATCATTCTATTAATTAACATATCTCTTGTCTCTTCGATATATATTTTCCACAAAATAGAGAAAGATAAATATGATATGATTACGACTATGATGTAACAATATATAATATGTTAATTCCATTCCCACGCAATGTGCCATTTCAACGCAATGTACACAGTCATGTACTCATTTATTTGTATACACTTTGTTGCACTTGTTTGTGATGTTGAATTCACTATCTGACGAAATTAATTGAAACCGGTAATAGTGAATTGAAACTCACAAGGATCTTTATTTCATTTGTTTTCTTTAACCATGACGGATGGACGATTTCCATAATAAAGTATTTGTATAATTATGTACTCTCTTTAAAAAAAAGAGTGAATTTTCACTCTATTTTCTACTTTCTTGGGAGTGACGTCCGTGATCACTTGTTTAGGAGTGAAAATCGATTGAATTTAGTCTAAAATAAGAGTGCTCTCTAAGAAGAAAAGAGTGAATGTTCACTCCATTTTCACTACATTTTCACTCTCCAGAGGAGTGACGTCCGTGATCACTCGATTTTTTTTAGAGTGTACATACATTATGTCTCTATGTGCTTCTTGCATGACAGCCCGCCCAACGGACAGATCGACCACAGATAACCCGACCAGGCCCTGGACAACTCGTCTGGGTCTAGTTGTTAGGGTGTCACTCTATCCGGACAACTCGACCAACTTGTTTTGATTTTATGAACTAAAGTCACTTATGAGCGAAATATTGGCCGGCACGATTTTCAAATTTCAGCACACTAAATTTTAAAATTGAATCCAAATTTGGCCCCCCCTAAGAAATCCTGGATCCGCGCCTGCAAATACATGTATATATATATATATATATATATATATATAATATATATAGGCTCTAAATATTTTTAGAAACAACTACGCAAAAAATGATGAAGATAGAGAAGACTAATGCCTTTAGACCAACAGTTGTATTAGGTCACGTAACCTATAATATAAACGGTTCTCTCTCTTCATCATTTATTGCGTACTTGAATTCATATGTGTGTGTGCGTGTGTGTGTGTATGTAACTATCCCGAGCAAAATGGGAACAATGACCATGCAATGATGACAACGAATTACCCGGGTCCGTAATTACAGACGATGTACGTGTCAGGACGGTACAATGAATGCGGTGGACATGCAGCCCTGCCACATCCTATGAAAGAGGTTGTAGCCCACACCATCTATACCAAAATGAAAAAAATGGTAATGAAAATAAAACAAAGACAACAATAACAACAACAACTACTACGACTACTACTGCTTGGTCTACTACTTATAATAATGATAATAACAATAGTAATTAAAATGATAATAATTTGTATAAAATAATAAACATGATGATGATAATAATGATAAAAAAAATTAATGATGTTGATAACAATAATAATAATTATGATCATAATCATCATCATTTCCATCATCGTCGTCGTCGTAAGCTTTTTTTTTTAAAGGATGCTACCAACATACAGTTAAATTATTCAATTTCAAACCCCTGGTCAATTTAATGTTTTGTGTATTTTTTCATCATCATTTCCATCATCGTCGTCGTCGTCGTAAGCTTTTTTTTTAAAGGATGCTACCAACATACAGTTAAATTATTCAATTTCAAACCCCTTGTCAATTTAATGTTTTGTGTATTTTTCGTGACTCAAGAATAAAAGGAGGACTGGTTAAATTAGGGCCTTTGTTGAATACTTTTAGCTGTAATTAATGTGTCACATTTTAAAGAAACATAAATCAGGAGAAAAAAAATCACATTCTTAAAAACGACCTAACTTTAATGGTAAGGGTATGATTATATATATAATTAGTTGTTAATTGTATGTATTGTCAACGGCTAAAAAAGGCTTTGAGCTTTGAAACTTACCTGAGTGTAGTGGGCACAGAATGCGGAACAGGTGTTGGTTTCGAAGTCATAATCAGCCTTCTCGTTATTCCACGAATCCATTATAGAATCAAGAGTGCCGGCATACACCTGGGCGATGTTCTGGCCTACACTACTAAATTCTGTTACCAGACTTCGGAAGTTAAAGCCGAAGTCGCATCGGTTCGCCCACCTCTGCGCAAGACCTGCAAGGTCATGACTCCATTGCTGTAACCAGAGAACGAGGCAATATTAGGATACTTTATTTTTCATTTATGCCGCGTCATTGAAAGTAAATGAGGTTTTAAAAAAGTATAAAGATTGATACAAACAAAGATCGTTGGCGTACGCAGGATTTTTTCAAGGGGGGAGGGGGGGGGGGTTAAAATTTTGAAATCGGGCTGAAAATTTCGCAACGACTCAGCCAGCCGCTGAATAAGCGGGGGGGGGGGGGGTAAGGTCACCTTTTTTAGGTCAGCCATTGGCATAATTTTTTAATATTTTTTTAAATAATTAAAAAAAAAAAACCAACCAAAGGGGGGGGGGTTCTTCCAAAATACACACATAAAAAATACCAAGGGGGGGGGGGGGGTTCACCCCCCCCCCCCTGCGTACGCGCCTGACAAAGATTACATATCGAAAATAATATCGCTAGTGATATTTGTTTGTCTCGCAATGTATGGTCAAAGGGATCTAAAAAATCACAACGCTTCGTGCGCCGCTGCAACGCTTCGGCAGGTGATAAAATAAGCGAGCGTGTTTTATATTCTACGGGCGGACCGTCGGTCAAATAATTCGAATAATAACGTCGTGATCTTTTAGATCCCCTGTTGACCATAACATTGCGACAAACGAATATAACTAGCGATATTATTTTCGATACTACATCCGCAATGAATAATATATATATATTTTTTTAATTACATAATTGCATTGTTCAAAGTTATATGAAAGAATACATTCACCAAAAATGACAAATTAAGGAACAGAAATGGGATAAGAAATGAAAAAGATTAATTCAACATATTGCACAAAATGATAATAAACTCTAGACATCGAAACTCTTACATGTACATTTTTTCACACTTCACTTTTAAAGGGCCCTAAGGCGGCCCCTGGATGCTCATCTGATCGTAATTTAATGCCTAAAACCCCTGAGCTTCTGGGAGCTCCACCCCCTGGACCCCACTCCAATTAGTGACCTGCGTTTCAGTGCATGTCACAAATAAGGTACCAAAATATGCTCATCTAATCGTAATTAAATGCCTAAAACCCCTGAACTTCCAGGGGCTCTGTTTAATGAATATTTTTGTAATATTGGTCCGAATCTGAAAAAAAATATTCCAAACAGTCAAACTGATTTTCATGAATACTTAGGAGAACCTAACATGCAAAGTTTATTTCTGGTGCCCACAAATGACGAAGAATTGCTTGGTATTGTTAGAGCCCTCAAGAACAAGAAAAGTCCTGGGTATGATCATATTGGGAACGAACTTATTAAGCAAGTTATTGTCGGTATCCTTTAACCACTAGTTCATGTTTTTAATTTGTCTATGTCAAGCGGAGTTGTACCGATAAACATGAAGATCGCAAAAGTTGTACCAAGTTTTAAAAAAGGTGACTCTCAATTACTGACAAATTATCGTCCGATTTCTTTGTTAACCTGTTTTTCAAAAATTCTGAACAAAATTATTTATGTAAGAACTATAACATTTTTAAACAAAACATGTGTCTTCAGTAATTATCAGTTTCGTTTTCGGGAGAAGCATACAACAACGCATGCAATTGTACACCTTATAGATAAACTTGCTTCTGCCTTAGTCGCTTACACACCATCGGTACATTTTTAGACTTTTCCAAGGCCTTTGATACTGTAGACCATGAAATTCTCTTAAGTAAATTATGTCATTATGGTGTCAGGGGAGTCGCCTTGGATTGGCTTAGAAGTTATATTACTGATAGAAAGCAATATGTGTCCCTAACATGGAATTGACTCTAGCCCCCCCCCCCCAAAAAAAAAGTAACATGTGGTGTTCCCCAAGGATCCATTTTGGGAACACTTTTATTCATCTTGTATATTAATGATTTTCAACGCTCATCAAGTGTATTATCATTCATATTTTTTGCTGATGACTCAAGTGTATTTTTTTTCTCATAAATGTCCACAAACATTGTTGAAAACTGATAATGAAGAGTTTCGAAAAGTAATGAAGTGGATTAATGCTAATAAGTTATCCTTGAATCTTCAGAAAACTAATTATATACTGTTCAGTAATTCAGTTAAGTGGCATTTAATAATAACCCAATTGAGAGAGTTACTTCAACAAAATTTCTTGGGATATCCATAGATGAAAAACTGAATTGGAAAATCATGTAGACAAATTAAGTAAAGTGGTGTAAAAAAATACTGGTGTTATTATAAGTTGAGATCATGTATACCTCAAGAGGTATTGTTCATTTTGTACTCTACTCTTATTTTATCATGTATTAATTATGGTATGTTAGCATGGGGCAAATCATCCAAAACTCAAATCCACAGGCTTTTCGTTGTGCAGAAGCGGGTTATCAGAATAATTTGTAAAGCGAATTATCGTGCACATACATATCTACTTTATTATGAAAACGGTATTCTAAAACTAAAAGATCTCTATTCAATGCAACTTGGAATGCTCATGTTTAGCATTCACTCTGGGGACCTCCCTCCTGCCCTTGCTCAAATCTTGAGAAGAAATAACCAAATTCACACCTATAATACTAGACAGGCTTCTGCTCTCCATTTACCATATGTAAGGACAACCTTCACTCTGAATACACTAATGTCCACTGGCCCCAGGTTCTGGAATTCACTTGATACTACTATAACAAATACTTCAAGTATCTCAGTTTTTAAACGTAGACTTAAGTCATATTTTCTTCACAAGTATGTCGATGACACATGAATGATACATGACGCAACGCACTTTTATTGTAAATAAAAGTTGTCTCGTTGAAAGTTCAAGCTAGAATGATTCAATTACACACTAATTCATGCCACGCCCTGGTCTCCGTGGCAGAATTAGCTCGCACACCTGTACGAGCTGCCTATGCAAATTACATTTCATCGGGGCATAGCCCCGGAACCAACATAAGTATGCATTCATTAACGATACAAACAACATTTGTCTGCTATACAATCGTACCGCAGACAAATAATATTCCTCACATCAAGCTACGAGAAAGTATATCATCATCTCACAGAATTCTGCTCGAATACCGCATCGAAATCAGGTTTTCATTTCTCGATGAAAGATGGTTTTAAATGAACCATGTACTCTTTTCGAGGCACTTGGAAGCAGGGGCGTCACTAGACCTTTTTCAGTGGGGGGGGGGGGGTGTAGAGGCCAACGATAACCGACAAAACTAGCGACCAATTACCGACAAAATTAAATGTCCAATATCTACAAATTCAACCCTATAAACCCGGGGCCGAAGGCTAATTGTTTTTCTTATGGACTATCTATAGTACTTGCATATGCGCAAATGGTCATGTTCCTCGACGACATAAATATATGAATTATTTCGTCAACTAATTAGTCAGCATCATAGCTGATATATTTTAATGCAGGCGCGGAGCTAGGATCTTATTTTAGGGAAGGCGGCAGTGAGCAAGCGAATCACTCAAAGAGCGCTCATTAGGGGATGTGGGTGATAGGCCTCTAAATTATTAGGAAAAGAAGACGATTTATTGTACCTTTCTCGACTGTTAATCCTTGTCTAAATGAAGTCCCCCCCCCCCCCCCTCCCGCGCGAAGCTCGAAAGCTTTGACGTTTCATTAAATTATTTTGAAAAGAAGACAATTTGCTGTACCGTTCTCTACTGTTAATCCTTGTCTGAATTCAGTTTCTCCCCACACGCGCGAAGCGCGGAAGTTTTGGCGTTTCGTTATTATTAGAGAAAGTAGACGATTCGTTGAACCTTGCTCGACTCTAAATCCTTATCTGAATCAAGCCTCCCCTTCCGCGTATAGCGCGGAAATTTTGACGTTTCATTAAATTATTAGAGAAAGAAGACGATTCGTTGTACTGTTCTCGACTCGTCTACATGAAGTTTTCTCTCTTCGCGCGAAGCGCGGAATTTTAGGCGTTTCATCACAATATAGAGAAAGGAAGACGATTCGTCGTACCGTTTTCGATTCTTATTACTCCCTATTCAATTAAATTCAGTTTTCCCCCTCTCGCGTGAAGCGCGGAAGCTTTGGCGTTTCATTAAATTATTAGGGAAAGAAGACGATTCGTTTGTACCGTTTTCTAATCTTAATAAGCCCTATTTGATGCACTGTTTTCGACCCTTAATTCTTATCTGAATAAAGCTTCCACCTCCCGCGCGAAGCGCGGAAGTTTTGACCTTTCATTAAATTATTAGAGAAAGAAGACGATTCGTTGTACCGTTCTCGACTCGTCTAAATGACGTTTTTCCCCTTCCGCGCGGGGGGGGGGGGGGCGTTTCATCACAATATAGAGACAGGAAGACGATTCGTCGTACCGTTGTTGACTCTTAAACCTTGTTAGAATTTAGTTTTCCCCGAAAATTTTAAACCTCTGATTTCTTTAGCTGATATTATAGGAAAGTGAAACTTCGAGAAAATACAAGTATTGTAGTTGTAGTCACTCTCGAAGTCGTCACAGCGGATAAAATGTCACAGTTCGTAGGGAGAAAACTTGTCGGCCGACCAACAATATACATCTCACCAACTTCAAATTCTGCATTGATATAGTACACGAGGATCGAGCAAGAATACCGACACAGCTGACCCGACATAGCAACATATTTACCCGTGTCTTTCTTGCTCCCTCGACAAGACGACTCCACCCAACAACCCTGCTCTCTTTTACTCCCACTCCTCCTCTCTCAGGCTCTTACCTCTCCTCTCTCTCCTCTCTTTCACCCCCGTTCTTTTGTTTCCCTTTTTACTCTCTTTTCTTTCTTTTCCTTTCTTGCCTCTCCTCGCTCTTTTTCTTTTTTCTCTTTCTTTCTTCTCTTTTCTTTCCTTTCTTTTTCCTTTCTTTCCTTTCTTTCCTTTCTTTTCCTTTCTTTCTTCTCTTTTCCTTTTCTTTTTTCTTTTCTTTCCGTTTCCCTTTCTTTTTCCCTCCCCCTTTTCTCTTTTTTTTCCGACGGCAGCGCAATTTTACCGACAATATCCTGACAGGTGGGAGGGGGGGGGGTGTCGCATCCCCCACACCCCGCCCTTTTGCGACGCCCCTGCTGGTAGGCCTACACTGCAGGCAAAAGTCAGGACTAACATTTAGCATGTTATTAATTTTATTACCACCCTTATATTCTCTGAAAATGTTATCTTTATTGAGGGTGACTTGAAAAGGTTAATAATTTGGAAGGAAGGGGGTGCAACCTGGCACACGCTTCTACCTCTTGGTTGCTTTGATCCATTGCCGAAAATATTTTGGCACCTATCATCCCCCCCTACCACGGATACAAATCGACACCCCTGGTCACTGCCATTTGAGTGTGCCCGGCCCCCTCTTCAATAACGACTCCCAAGCCTTCGAGAATGACCCCAAAATTTCTAGATTACCATTCTGCCGCTCTTTGAGGGGCCGGGCGCGACCTTTTCAGAAGAGTGTTTCTACACTAATCTTTTCATGCACTACGGCTTTACATAAACAAACATGCTAAGAATTCTTTTAAATAAGCATAATTCCGACTCAGTTTTGCATAACCTAAATATTAAAATACGGTCAGTCACCCCTCTCCCCCTCAATGCACCCGCATTTCACACACGCACCCTCCTCCCTAGTCTTTTCCCTTATTCGTCGTTACTGTCACTTAGTGCCATTTCGCTGTATTTCTCTCCCGGCTTCTGTCTTCTTTTTCTTTCTCTTTCTCTTTGTTGAACTCTCTCTTACTTTTCCTTTCTTTTCTCTTCTCCTTTTTTTTTTCTTCTTCTTTTCATTTCTCCTTTTCTCTTCTTTTCTTCCTCTTTTTTTACTTCTCAATTTATTTGCGCCGCCAATAGGGGAGGGGGGCCGCGGCCGTTTCGGCCCACCCCTGGATCCGCCACTGATTATAATCAATTATTGTGTTTGTGCCTCTCTCCGCAAATCTTGCAAGTGGTTGGTTAAGGGTTAGAGATAATTGGTCCAGTGTTGAAGTTAAGAATTCGGATAGTATAGGAAATTGGCTAGGAGCAAGTTTCGATAGAGCAAGTAGTGTCGCAAGATCAGCAAGTATCGTATATAAACAAAACTTACCAGAGCTACCATGTTTGCAGCAGATGGCTGTACTTCACTACGGAACTGGTTATGTCGAGCCAGGATTTTGTCTCTATCCCATTGATTATATATTCCATTAACAACTGGGAGCCATTCCTCGGTCAGGTCGGTGACTTCGGCCATCTCTCCAAAGGAGACTGCCAAAACAAGCACGAGACTCAATGCACAGATCATGATGATGTGGTGGTTTGTACAGGTAGGCACTGCTCAGATATGAAACAGCTCTTGGGATGCTAACGTATATATTAGGGCTGGTTACCTATGACCGACCGACGTAGGTAATTTCACCTTCGAAAGATTTATTAGACTTTTATATGTCCTTCGGAATCCAATCAGAATTTAATTTTGTGACATATTGAATACCATATGCTCATAGCATGCCCATGAGGCTGCATGCACGCTATCGTTATAGCAGGGCTGTCAACAGGCGCGGATCCAGGATTTCTAAGGGGGGGGGCAAATTGAAATTATGCGAGCCAAATATTGGTACGTAATGGTGACACCGGCAGTGGCAAAAACGTTTGGGGTGGGGGTAGACAAAAACAAAATCCCCATCACCCCACTCACTTAATTACTGTCAGATGAGCATATTTTGATACCTTACTTGTGACACTGTAGGACACAAATTGGTGTTGGGTCCAGGGGGCAGAGCCCTCTGAAGTTCAGAGGTTTTATACATCAAATTATCGTCAGATGATAATAATTTTATACTTATTTGTGACACTGGAAGTGTTGTGTTTGTAAGACTGTGCTAACAGTCAACGTCGAGGGCTCAATCCCCTTATGTACACATGATGACAATATGATCGGACATCTTGGAATAGATTAAATCATCTCAACTCTAAATTCATTGTATCTAGTTTTATGTCTCTGAGTTCATAAATACTACATCTGGCGACGAGAATGGCTGGAATAGGTCTTGTAGCACCTAACCCATTCCTAGCAACCCCAGGAACCTCCTGTGCCTTGGTCACGATGGATTTTGAGCTTCAAAACGTATTTGACTGCAAGCGGGTTGGACACAGCGGAGATACCCGACCTCCGCCGCCGCGCAATCCTGATCCACTGTTTGGGCGCAGAGGGGCAGCGGATCTTCGGACAGCTGGAAGTGTCTACTACCGGTACGTACGATAAAGCTGTTGATGAACTTGAGAAATATTTTGGGCCAAAAACAAGTGTGATGATTGAACGATATCGTTTCCGACAGAGAGTACAAGGTCATGGGGAGCCAGTAAACAATATGTGGCAGCCATAACCGAACTGGCATCCAAGTGCAAGTTTGGCACCTTAAACGATGAACTGGTTAGAGATCAACTAATCGAAAAGAACGTCTATTCCCCGTATTAGAGAACGTCTGTTAATGGAGGATGACGGTCTGACACTTAAGAAGGCGCTCGATCTAGCGATCCAGATCGAAGCCGCAATGCTGGACGCCAAGCTCCTCAAACAACACGATGTGACTGTGAGTGCCAGTACAGGACATAGTCATACTGCACATCAGGCAACTCCAGTACAGAACATCAAACGACCATATCATAACAAAGCCCACTCTAACCATGCTAACTCGAAGTCGTGTTCGAACTGCGGACGGACCCACCCTCCGAAAGCGTGTCCAGCGTTTGGAAAACGTTGCAATTCGTGCTCGAAGATGCACCATTTCTCTAGCGTATGCAGATCTACCAAGAAAAGTGCATCTTCAGTTCGACACGTTTGATGAACCAATAGAGGGCGACATAGCAAGCAGCGTGTTCACACTCTCAGACCGGATCTCTTCAGCACATTCAGGTCAGTTCAAAGAATGTGAAGTGCAAGATTGCTGGTACTAACCTCTCTTTGATGATTGATGTGGGGGCCAAAGTGTCAATTCTTAGTGATAAACTGTATCATCGACATTTCTCACATTGTAGCCTGTCATCGACATCGAGCAAGCTCATAGCATATGGTGAACCACCTACACTGATTTCCGTTCTGGGCACGGTTGAGCTTCCTGTCGGGTACAAGGATGTACATCTCGACAGCTTTACGTTCTACATAGCGAAGGGCGAGAGCCTTATGGGAGTCAATCTGTTCGACGCCCTAGGATTTCAGATGAACGACCACACTGGTGAACGCATTCGGCTCATAGACAATGCGTATAGAGAACGCTATGCTGCACTTTTCAACGAGTTTGGTAAATGCAAAGGATATTGCCATGCACCAAGGGTGGATTCCTCAGTCCCACCTACTGCACAGAGTCTCCGTCGACTTCCGTTAGCTGTCAGGGATGAAGTCTCAAAGGAGCTTCATAGGCTTGAATCCGATGGCATCATCGAGCGCATCGATTCATCCCCGTGGGTGTCTAATCTGGTCATCGCACGCCGTAAGAATGGAGATCTTAGACTTTGTGTAGATTTGAGGGCAGTCAACAAGGCAATCATTCCGGATAAGTATCCACTTCCTACTATGAATGAACTTTCAGCTTCATTCCACGGAGCTAAAGTTTTCTCTAAACTAGACATGAGACGTAGCTATCTCCAGGTTCCGCTAGCAGAGCAGCCGCCATCTCACTGCATTCAACACACACATAGGCATGTTTCAGTATCGCCGTATGCCCTATGGACTGAACTCAGCACCTAGCGCATTCCAGAAAATCGTTTCTTCAGTTCTAGCTGGCATCGAGGGCACGTTGAATCTCCTTGATGATGTGGTAGTCTTCGGAGAGGACAAGGCTCAGCACGATCAACGATTAGCAGAAGTCATGACGCGCCTCGCCAAGCATAACTTGACGCTCAACGAGGCCAAGTGCACGTTCGCTGCTTCGGACATTGATTTTCTGGGATATCATGTCACTGCAGATGGTCTGACGCCTACACTCGACAACGTTGCAGCTATCCGAACACTCCCAGCCCCAACGAATGTGAAGGAGCTAGCCTCATTCTTGGGAACAATGAACTTCTACCGCAAATTCGTGCCACAATACGCAGAAATCGCAGAACCTCTGCAGAAGCTTCTCCGGAAGGAAGCGCTTTGGGAATGGCACAACGCACAAGAGACCGCATTCAACACGCTCAAAGGAAGAATCGCAGAGCCGCCAGTTCTCGCTTACTTCACTCCAAGCGCTGAAACGTACGTGACTACAGACGCGTCAGCGTTCGCTATCGGAGCAGTGTTATCGCAAACGATCGACGGCAGTGTACGTCCGGTCGCATTCGCATCTCGAGCGTTGTCGGACACAGAGCGAAAGTATTCTACAGGAGAACGCGAAGCTCTCGCATGCATCTATGCCTGCAAACACTGGCATATGTACCTCTACGGTCGCAAGTTCACACTTCGTACTGACCATCAAGCCTTAACAACCTTGTTGAGCACTTCAGGATCTGGACACCGCCCACTCCGCATCTACAGATGGTCAGATCGACTGCACCAATATGATTTCAAGGTCGAATATCTCGCGGGTTCACGCAACCGAGTAGCAGATATGCTTAGCCGCACACCGAACGCGAATAGCAATCGCGATAGCCATGCAAGAAGCGACATCGAAGACGACGTCGAAGACTACGTTCTTATGGTGATCTCTCACGTGACCGCAAAGCTTGTGACGCGTGAGCAGCTGAAAACAGAGTCAGCCGCAGATGCAACTCTACAGAAGGTCTGTCATTATCTCCAAACAGCATGGCCTAGAGAGATTTCCGAAGACCTCGTTCCATATCATCGTGTTCGCAATGAGCTAGCTATCTTCGACGACACGTGTATCGCCCGTGGCACCCGAGCGGTAATCCCGAAATCGCTTCAACATCGTGTGTTACAAACCGCACATGAAAGTCATCCAGGTGTGGTGAAGATGAAGCAACGATGTCGCGAAGCAATCTGGTGGCCAGCGATCGATCGACGCGTAGAAGATCTCGTTAGATCTTGTGAAGCGTGTACTCTCAGCGAGAAAACTCAACCGCGGCCAGCACCACTGCAGCCGACCCCATGGCCGAAGAAGCCATGGCAGCAACTTCAAGTCGACATCTTTGGGGAAGTCCAAGCCGCTCCCCAAAGTCAGCGATTTTTGTTAGTTGTACACGACCTCCATAGCAAGTGGCCTGAGATAGCAGCAACAATCAGTCACTACGACATCAGTCATTAGCATCTTGGAGAAGATGTTTACCAAGTGGGGTCTTCCAGAATCTATCACCACGGACAATGGACCACAGTTCACGTCTGAACAGTTCGAAGAATTCCTAGCCGTTAATGGAATTCAACATCGCCTCACAACTCGCTACAACCCTCAAAGCAATGGCGGCGTAGAGCGTTTCAACCGGGTAATCAAGGAGAGCTTGAAAGCGAATCTCGCAGATGGAATGACCTTCGATAAGGCCATCCAGACCCTACTACGCACGTATCGCTCAACACCTCATTCGCTAACCGGAAAGACTCCAGCAGAGTTGATGTTGGGACGGAACCTCCGTATGCCATTCAACATCCTGAAACCACCGGTTTCAGAGCCTGCAAGCACACAGGCTGAAGCGAGAGAGATTGAGAGGAAACAGCAAAGCATGAAAGCGTACACTGACAAACGCAGACGAGCAATCACACCGAAATTCGCTATCGGTGACTGGGTTCGTGTAAAGCGTCCAAATCGCAAGCACAAGCTAGCTTCGGGGGTATCGAAACCCAAACAGATCGTGAAGAAGCTCGGCTCGAATGCATTTGTACTAGATGACGGAACGCGATGGAACACCAGACGCCTTATCGCGAGCAAGCCAGGCAACATGAATGAAAGCGATTGGGAAGACACCTTTCCATTCCCTACAAGCACTGAAGATCAAGAGCAACAGCGAGCAGAACCGCGAACTGTTCGTCGTTCTCAGCGTCTAAGGAGACGACCTGGATATCTACGAGATTACAGATCTTAAATCCTTAGAGCCGACAAGTATTGAGCATAGAAATTAAAAAACTGGAACATTTAAGTTTTGGACTCATATGAAACAATTGCTCAATATAGGTTAATAAAATTTCAGGCTTGTTAATAAACAAGTTTTATTTTCTGGACTCATAAACTTTTGAACTCATATCTGGACTTAGTTATATAACATTATTCATCTCTTTAAAGGAGGGAAATATGTTGTGTTTGTAAGACTGTGCTAACAGTCAACGTCGAGGGCTCAATCCCCTTTATGTACACATGATGACATATGATCGGACATCTTGGAATAGATTAAATCATCTCAACTTCTAAATTCATTGTATCTAGTTTTATGTCTCTGAGTTCATAAATACTACAGGAAGGTCAAAAATTGGCGTGGGGTCCAGGGGTGGATCCCCCGGAATTTCAGGGGTTTAATTGGGGCAATAAATTATATGTTCAGATGAGCTTATTTGTATATTTTATTTGTGACAGTGGCAGGTCACTAATTGGCGTGGGGTCCAGGGGGCGGAGCCCCCAGAAGCTCAGGAATTTTGGCACTTTATAACGGTCAGACAAGCATGCAGGGGCCCGCCTTAGGGCCCCTGGTGGGGTCAAGGGGTGGAGCCCCGGAAACTTAGAGGTTTTTACGGTCAGATAAACATATTTTGATACCTTATCTGTGACACTCAGGCTGGCAGGACACTAATTGGTGTGAGGTCTAGGGGGCCGAGACCCCAGAAGCTCAGGGGTTTTAAGCATTAAATTACCGTCAGATTAGCATCCAGCCGTCCGCCTTAGGGCCCTAGGTGGGGTCCAGGGGGCAGAGCCACCGGAAGTCAAGGGGTTTTAGGCATTTAATTCCGGTCAGATGAGCATATTTTGATACCTTATTTGTAGCACTGGTAGGTCATTAATAGAGGATTATGTTATAGTTTGATCTTAATTAAGGGTATCTTCTTTTATCTAATTTGTTTACAGACCGTGATCATTGTTGAAGTCTACTGATCGACTGACACAAATAGCCAAATCTTACTTATGATCACGGTTTGACTCAATCAGGGGCGTACGCAGGGGGGGGGGGTTTTGGGGTTCAACCCCCCCCCCCCTTTGGTATTTTTTGTGTGTAAACCCCCCTAAACCCCCCCCCCCCCCACGAGACTCAATGCACAGATCATGATGATGTGGTGTGTTTTTACAGGTAGGCACTGCTCAGATATGAAACAGCTCTTGGGATGCTAACGTATATATTAGGGCTGGTTACCTACTGACCGACCGACGTAGGTAATTTCACCTTCGAAAGATTTATTAGACTTTTATATGTCCTTCGGATCCAATCAGAATATTAATTTTGTGACATTGAATACCATATCGTCGCTGTTTTCACGAAGTGACGGTAGTGAAAAAAAATTGCATTCACTTTGCGTTACGATTTTCCTCACTACCGTCACTTCGTGAAAACAGGATTATGCTCATAGCATGCCCATGAGGCTGCATGCACGCTATCGTTATAGCAGGGCTGTCAACAGGCGCGGATCCAGGATTTCTAAGGGGGGGGGGGGCAAATTTGAAATATTGCGAGCCAAATATTGGTACGTAATGGTGACACCGCAGTGGCAAAAACGTTTGGGGGTGGGGGTAGACAAAAAAAAAATCCCCATCACCCCACTCACTTAATTACTGTCAGATGAGCATATTTTGATACCTTACTTGTGACACTGGTAGGACACAAATTGGTGTTGGGTCCAGGGGGCAGAGCCCTCTGAAGTTCAGAGGTTTTATACATCAAATTATCGTCAGATGATAATAATTTTATACCTTATTTGTGACACTGGAAGGTCAAAAATTGGCGTGGGGTCTAGGGGTGGATCCCCCGGAATTTCAGGGGTTAATTGGGGCAATAAATTATATGTTCAGATGAGCTTATTTGTATATTTTATTTGTGACACTGGCAGGTCACTAATTGGCGTGGGGTCCAGGGGGCGGAGCCCCCAGAAGCTCAGGGAATTTTGGCACTTTATAACGGTCAGACAAGCGTGCATGGGCCCGCCTTAGGGCCCCTGGTGGGGTCAAGGGGTGGAGCCCCGGAAACTTAGAGGTTTTTACGGTCAGATAAACATATTTTGATAACCTTATCTGTGACACTCAGGCTGGCAGGACACTAATTGGTGTGAGGTCTAGGGGCCGAGACCCCAGAAGCTCAGGGGTTTTAAGCATTAAATTACCGTCAGATTAGCATCCAGCCGTCCGCCTTAGGGCCCTAGGTGGGGTCCAGGGGCAGAGCCACCGGAAGTCAAGGGGTTTTAGGCATTTAATTCCGGTCAGATGAGCATATTTTGATACCTTATTTGTAGCACTGGTAGGTCATTAATAGAGGATTATGTTATAGTTTGATCTTAATTAAGGGTATCTTCTTTTATCTAATTTGTTTACAGACCGTGATCATTGTTGAAGTCTACTGATCGACTGACACAAATAGCCAAATCTTACTTATGATCACGGTTTGACTCAATCAGGGCGTACGCAGGGGGGGGGGGGGGGGGTTTTGGGGGTTCAAACCTCCCTTTGGTATTTTTATGTGTGTAAACCCCCCTAAAAAAACAACCCCCCCCCCACCCACGAGACTCAATGCACAGATCATGATGATGTGGTGTGTTTGTACAGGTAGGCACTGCTCAGATATGAAACAGCTCTTGGGATGCTAACGTATATATTAGGGCTGGTTACCTACTGACCGACCGACGTAGGTAATTTCACCTTCGAAAGATTTATTAGACTTTTTATGTCCTTCGGAATCCAATCAGAATATTAATTTTGTGACATTGAATACCATATGCTCATAGCATGCCCATGAGGCTGCATGCACGCTATCGTTATAGCAGGGCTGTCAACAGGCGCGGATCCAGGATTTCTAAGGGGGGGGCAAATTTGAAATTATGCGAGCCAAATATTGGTACGTAATGGTGACACCGGCAGTGGCAAAAACGTTTGGGGGGTGGGGGTAGACAAAAAAAAATCCCCATCACCCCACTCACTTAATTACTGTCAGATGAGCATATTTTGATACCTTACTTGTGACACTGGTAGGACACAAATTGGTGTTGGTTCCAGGGGGCAGAGCCCTCTGAAGTTCAGAGGTTTTATACATCAAATTATCGTCAGATGATATAATTTTATACCTTATTTGTGACACTGAAGGTCAAAATTGGCGTGGGGTCCAGGGGGTGGATCCCCCGGAATTTCAGGGGTTTATTGGGGCAAATAATTATATGTTCAGATGAGCTTATTTGTATATTTATTTGTGACACTGGCAGGTCACTAATTGGCGTGGGTCCAGGGGGTGGATCCCCCGGAATTTCAGGGGTTTAATTGGGGCAATATTATATTTCAGATGAGCTTATTTGTATATTTTATTTGTGACACTGGCAGGTCACTAATTGGCGTGTGGGTCCAGGGGGCGGAGCCCCCAGAAGCTCAGGGAATTTTGGCACTTTATAACGGTCAGACAAGCATGCAGGGGCCCGCCTTAGGGCCCCTGGTGGGGTCAAGGGTGGAGCCCGGAAACTTAGAGGTTTTACGGTCAGATAAACATATTTGATACCTTATCTGTGACACTCAGGCTGGCAGGACACTAATTGGTGTGAGGTCTAGGGGGCCGAGACCCCAGAAGCTCAGGGGTTTTAAGCATTAAATTACCGTCAGATTAGCATCCAGCCGTCCGCCTTAGGGCCCTAGGTGGGGTCCAGGGGGCAGAGCCACCGGAAGTCAAGGGGTTTTAGGCATTTAATTCCGGTCAGATGAGCATATTTTGATACCTTATTTGTAGCACTGGTAGGTCATTAATAGAGGATTATGTTATAGTTTGATCTTAATTAAGGGTATCTTCTTTTATCTAATTTGTTTACAGACCGTGATCATTGTTGAAGTCTACTGATCGACTGACACAAATAGCCAAATCTTACTTATGATCACGGTTTGACTCAATCAGGGGCGTACGCAGGGGGGGGGTTTGGGGGTTCAAACCTGGGTTTCCCATCCAACCCCCCCCCCTTTGGTATTTTTATGTGTGTAACCCCCCTAAAAAAAACCAAACCCACCCCCCCCCCCCCCACGAGACTCAATGCACAGATCATGATGATGTGGTGTGTTTGTACAGGTAGGCACTGCTCAGATATGAAACAGCTCTTGGGATGCTAACGTATATATTAGGGCTGGTTACCTACTGACCGACCGACGTAGGTAATTTCACCTTCGAAAGATTTATTAGACTTTTATATGTCCTTCGGAATCCAATCAGAATATTAATTTTGTGACATTGAATACCATATGCTCATAGCATGCCCATGAGGCTGCATGCACGCTATCGTTATAGCAGGGCTGTCAACAGGCGCGGATCCAGGATTTCTAAGGGGGGGGGGCAAATTTGAAATATTGCGAGCCAAATATTGGTACGTAATGGTGACACCGGCAGTGGCAAAAACGTTTGGGGGGTGGGGTAGACAAAAAAAAAATCCCCATCACCCCACTCACTTAATTACTGTCAGATGAGCATATTTTGATACCTTACTTGTGACACTGGTAGGACACAAATTGGTGTTGGGTCCAGGGGGCAGAGCCCTCTGAAGTTCAGAGGTTTTATACATCAAATTATCGTCAGATGATAATAATTTTATACCTTATTTGTGACACTGGAAGGTCAAAAATGGCGTGGGGTCCAGGGGGTGGATCCCCCGGAATTTCAGGGGTTTAATTGGGGCAATAAATTATATGTTCAGATGAGCTTATTTGTATTTTTTTTGTGACACTGGCATGGTCACTAATTGGCGTGGGGTCCAGGGGGCGGAGCCCCCAGAAGCTCAGGGAATTTTGGCACTTTATCACGGTCAGACAAGCATGCAGGGGCCCGCCTTAGGGCCCCTGGTGGGGTCAAGGGGTGGAGCCCCGGAAACTTAGAGGTTTTACGGTCAGATAAACATATTTTTGATACCTTATCTGTGACACTCAGGCTGG